AAACTCTATGTTATGCTACTTTTGCTAATTTAACTTAGAAATCTATATCTTAAGGATAAAATTCCCTATGAAATTGTCCATAAGTAAGCGCATCAATTAAACTACTTTTTCCAACTCTACTTGGACCTAAAACTAGCATTACTTGTGACATCAGAATTAACCAAAAAGTATATTTAAATTATATAATTAATCACTTATAGCATCAAACAACACCTTCTTTCAATAGTTTAATTCCATCATCAATTAAAAGCCGATTAAATATTCATAATCTTAATACATTAATACATAAATCTAGACTTCTAATTCAATAATGATTAAACTTTAAATCAATAAGAAATTAAAGTTTGAGATTAATATAATATATATCATAATTAATGAGCTTAAATAGAATATCAATTAATATAATACATTCTAAACATGCTTATTCTTAAATTTTCTTTAAAATATATAGATAACAAATAGAAATGATAAATAAGGAGGATCAATGTTAAAATATTTTATCTGAAGTATTAAAATGAAAATTTGAGTTTGAAACACAATCAGAAAGAGTTATTAGCTTATGGGTATGAGATCTAAATACTACCATATTATATAATGAGACCTTATTAAAAAATAAATATAAATATATATAAAAATATCAATCATCAACACTTCATTTCATATTTTCTAATTTCCTTATTTAATAATATGTATTCTTAATAATAAAAATAGTCTTGATTATATTTCATTTATGGGTTTAAGCAAAAATTTCTGTCAATATTATTTTTACATTAAATATTTAAAAAAACACCAAAGTAAATAAGGGTAAAGATAAAGGTTTTCAAGATTTAGAAATTTGAATAAATATATATTTTTAATAAGCTAAATTCAAAGAAAATCAAATGATTTTGTCAAATATCATAAAATAATATCAATTATTTATTCACTAAAATTTCCCATTTGTTTTCATAATTAACAATACTGATACAAAAGTATCTCTCTTAATGTAAAAATACCATTTTTCTATTAAATGCTAATAGAAATAATTTTATTGATATCAAAATTTTTATAATAGAATTAAAAATTTTTTTTTCCTTTATAACTTGCTTGAAAGTTCGAAGAGATATAATAATAATAAGAAATAATGTAAATTTTTGTTAAGACACTCACAGGAAAAACAATTACTCTTGATGTTGAACCAGATCACACAATTGATTAAGTTAAAGCTAAAATCTAAGATAAGGAAGGAATCCCACCTGATTAATAAAGACTTATTTTTGCAGGAAAGTAATTAGAAGATGGAAGAACACTTTCAGATTATAACATTTAAAAGGAATCAACCCTTCACTTAGTGTTGAGATTGAGAGGAGGTTAATGATTATTAATATTGAAATTAATTCTATTAAAATTCATAAAAAAGAATAAATCAAGAAAAAATTAATTAATAATTTTCTCTCTTTTCCTTTTCAAATAAAAATTTCCCTCATTTAATTCTAAATATATATTGATTCATGTATTATTGATATATTTATCAAAATTAACTTTAGAAATTGCCTTCTCAAGTTATTCAAAATATATAATTATCTTATTCTTAAAGAATATATTCAAATCAACTTAATCATATATTCAATTTAATCTTAAATCTTAAGTTTCTACTCTAAATTTCAATGATTTAATTTAAGAATTAGTAATTTTAATATAGAAATCTTATTATTATTTTAAACATCCAATGATATAAAATTATAACTCAAGTAAGTTTGAATAAATAAATATGAATTTGATCTAAAACAATTAGATTGTAATCATAAATTAAAAATTCATTAACCTGATTAATGATGGTATAACTTCACTTGTAATAAATTTTGAGATTAGACATGAACTTTTAGGTATAAATTCCTATCAAATTTTTAGAGTTATTATTCAATAAATATTTCTTATATTTAGTTTGAAATGGAATAAATTATATGACAGTTCATAAAAGTATTTATTAGGATTTAATAACATTTTATAAATATTTATTGATTAATTCCATAATAAATTCATATGAACTCCTTAGAAGAGGCAATTGTGAATCTTGATAAGATTTTAGCTCATATCCTAATTGAGTAGGATTTAAGATTAAAAGGTATTTAAATAGGACATGGCTGGAAATAACTCACAGTTATTAAAGAGGCAATTACTAAATTGAGTTTTTTAGAGAGAAGATAATATAAGAAAAAATTAGTGGAGATGGAAAATCGTTTATTTACATATGAAGATAATTATATTTCAGAAGTAGAATTGAAATTAGTATTATTTAAAATATATTTATGAGGCTTTAGAGGATGTTTAGAAGGTAAATGAATTAATAAATAATTATAAAACTTAAGTGATTATAGAAAAGAGAAAAGATATTGAAGAAAAATTGAATATCATTAAAGTGGAACTGTAGAGAATTTATGAAAAAAATAAAAATAAAAATGACAAAAAATGGATTGAAATGAATAGTCAAATATCTGATATTATGAGATTGATTCAAAATGTTTTAAATTCAAAAGATAATACTTAATTTACAGATTAAAGAGAATAGATGAATTAAGTTTTAAAGACAATTTATGTATAAAAAAGAATAAAAGATGAAGAAGAAGAGGAATTACTTAAAATTGCAGTAGAAATGGAAAACCTTAAAAATTTATAGAGAGAATTAGATTTATAACTCTAAAAAGATAATGAAAATTTTAGTGAAATAGAAAACAAATAAGGAACTTTATAACATAATTAAGAACAAAATGCTTAATAATACAACTAAGCATTTCAATATGTATAAATGAGAAGAAGAACAAAGGTTAAATTATTCTTTTAAGGTTTATTTACAGCTGTTGGATGTTTAGGGGGTAAAATTGGAGCAGCCTTTGGTTTAGCTTTTGGAACAATAACAGGGAAGAAAGTTAGTGAAACCGTTACAAAATCATCTATTAATTGATCTTATCAAGATTAAATACTATATTTTTATATAATTATTGAGTAATTCATAAACTAATATCAACAGATATAAGTTGATATTAGTTTATTTATTAATTTCTAATTGATTTCAATATAAATTATAAAGATTATGTTTTTATTAAAGAATGTAAAATATTCAACACAAAACTATATAGATATTATCTAAATATTAATATTAAAAACACTAAAAATTTTTTTTATAAAAGTGAGATTAAAAAAATGGAATTTATTAATTAAAATAATTAGATTTGTATAAAAAGTCAAATCTAAAATAATTAATAAAAAAGAAAGAGATATTTAAATTTAATTAATTATTATAAAGTTGGGTATTATCATACTTTTCGTAAACTTAAAAATCCTTCTCCTAAATCCCCTTAATAAGCAATATTGATTTTTGCTCGAGAAGATAAAGAGATAAAATCAATCATTGTTAAACCAGTTACAGAGTTCTTTGTATCCTTTAATTTACCTGAGGAATGATGCACTACATAACTAATTTAACAATATTTAGTACCTGCTATTGTTTACAGCATTGATTATAGTCTCACCATTAACCATAATATCAATCTTAGGTTTTCTTTTAGCAAAGAATCCAAATGTTATTTCATAAATACCAGGAGCCACTACAATTATATTTGGTTTATCTTTATCCCATAAGAAATTTTCAGTCAATGTATTAATTGCTTATATATTCCATGGGATTAGACTTCCAGGACTTAGAAAGTTTCCTTTAAATAACCATTTTCCTATTATATTTTAACTACATAATTATTCATTCAGAGTATTTTGATTTTATTAAAATTTATTAAACTCTTCATAACTAAATTTGGTTAATAAAATAGATTAAATTTCTTTGAAGGCCTTAGAAACATCTTCATGATTAGCTTTTTTTTCAAGAATATCTTTGAAATCTCTTTTAGATAATTTTTTTTGGAGATCCTTTTAAATTTCTGCTATTTACAAATTATTGGCATCTTTGTATTCAACAAATGTAATAGCATCTTATTTTTTTCCTAGATCAACAGCAATGTTTTCGATTAATGACATATGTTAATGAAAATCTTTGAGAGGTACTTTATCCTGTGTATGTTATACAAGTATATCCATATCTATTTTATTTTATAAAATGGACATGATTTCAGTATGGTTTGCCTATTAATGAGTTAATATTATATTTATACTTTCTTATTAATCAATTAATAAAATTCATTTCCTTGTAATTCTAAAACAGTACGTACTTCATCTTTAAATTCTTAAAATCTTTAGGCAATATCAATTTATTATGTATTTAAAGCATTTTATACTTCAATTAAATCTGATTTTAATTCAAATTATAAATGAATCTAATTAATTTTAGTATCTAGTTCAGGTTTTTTAATAAATAATTATTGTTAATCATTAATTTCTATTTTTATTGAATTTATTTATTAAACTATTCTTTCTATTTCTTAAAAAAATGCTTTTGTATTTGCATTAAGTAAAGATTTGGTAAGTATTTAATGTTCATTTAATTATCTCTATTCCTCTTAATAATATTATTATAGTTGATTTTTGATTTAATGAACTTATTCAGTCAAATTAGAAATTTATAAATGTCTTATTTTTTCATTAATTTAATCATCAAAATATTATTTTTAATAAGCCATTTCATTTTTAAGTAAATCTATATCTTGTTATATATTTTTTCTATTAGATTCCATCATTTAATAAGCTTCATTTTGATCCATTTTATTTTCATCTATATGTAACATTTTCTATTCTAAAACTTTAATTGTATTATCAAATTATTATTTAAATTGTTCAATTTATATTTATGTTGAATCATCTCTATTATTTACTATAATTTATGTTTAATGATAATACATTCTCTTTTTGTTGTAAATATTTTCTGTTCAAATTAGTTGTGAAGTAGAGAAATATCTTTTTGTATATGTTCTATGTTGAGAGTTATTGAAGTGATTTAATTTTGAAGATAAGTTTATAGAGTATTTTAACTCATTTAAATTACAACAGAAAATATAATAAAAAAAGTTAATTAATCAATCACTTTTTCTACGATACATGAATAGATAAGCAGAATCAATTCGATTGATTTGGTTAAGGGAGAGACGCTCAATTTCATCATCATTGAAGAGATAAAACTTCACAAATCATTAAGATAAACATACATTTTGATTACGCTTGACTACAGCTACATAATGACCTTAATCGATAGTTCCTGAATGCACAATCATAGCTTGTAATTCATATTTAGTATCAATTATTTCTGGTACACAAAAACTATATATATATAAATATAATATTTTACTTTTTAATATTCAATTCCATATCAGCATTGACTGGTTCTTTTATTTTTTTCTTTAATGGATAACTTTGAAATCTTTTTAATTATAAAACTAAAATATTTGGTGTAAATGTAATTTTAACACGCCGTTTTATACTTCTAAATTTTTAATTGCAAAAAGAACAAGTCCATCCACCTTCAATCATTTCTTCTTTAAAATAATTACTTAAACATTCTTATATTGATAATTTTCTCTACATAAAATTTTTACCTACAAGTGGTAGACTTAAATCATAAAATGGATCTTAATGCTAACTAATTTTATCACAATTTGAACATTTAATGAATGAAGTAAGTTATCCATGAAATAATTCATCAATAAATGTAAGAGATTACTTAAATTATTAAGGTTAATTTAATTAAGGTGCATTATTTATAAATAATTCTTCTTTAAATTTATCTAAAATAAAGAGTAATAATTCAGAACTATCATGCATTTCATATATTGAGAAATGTTTTTGTAATACTTTTATTAATTCCTTAGCTACTATACGAGCTTTATAATGTACTTTAGAAGCTTTTCTTAAAAGTAATGCATAAGCATAACTAAATAATTTATATTCAGATTAATAAGTATATAGGAAATGGTAATTTAATTAAGGAATACCCATTAAACATTATAATACACTATTCAAATAACAAAAGTAGATTTCATTCTCTAATCCAACTATTTATAATTCTTTTATTGGCATTTATTTTATATTTCTAATTTTGCCTTATTTTTTATCAAGATCATTCATTGATGGTGAAGCAAATACTTTAAGTGACTAATCTAAGATATTATTTTCACTTTTTCTATCTAAATCATATATTGTAATCATAGGTCCTCCTTTATAGATATTTATTAACACATTCCAAACCTAATCATTTACTAATACGTAATCTTTATCTAATACTAATTCTTCTTTCCCTTTGTATTTATCATAAAGGATTTTATTTGTAATCTCTCCAGGATGTAATCCTACTTCTTTGATATAATTAGTATATGCAATGGCCCAGTTAAATTCAATTAAATGAGTCTTTTCAGGTAATTCAATTAATTTTGTAACTAATTCCCTTTCTTGCTCTAAAGTTTTCTTGTCATATTAAATGAACTTCTCAATTTCTTATAAACTCAAATTAATCTTATCGTTTGTTCCTTCCATGTTGGTTAAATTAGTTGAATGTTGATCTTAATCATTAGAGGTTCTTATTTGATATTTTGATTATTTAGTTTGAGCTTATAAAGGAGGTATTTATGTTTAAGTTTATACAACTTTTGGCTTCTTGTTGCTCTTACAACATATAAACATATTTAATATTAATTATAAAATAAATCACTTACTTAAATGAAGTAATTCTAACTAATATCTAAATGAATCATATTCAAAATTTGTTTTCCTTAAAAAGCAAAGATTTTTTTATTTTATAATTAATCGTACTGTTGAAATCGAAGATGTAATAAGACTTACCAATCGAATCAGTGCTTGATACTCTAGATTATGGCGACAAAATCAAGTGCATCTCAGGATTGGTTGCCACTTTAGAATAAATGAAATCTAATTAAACTCATAAAACTTATTTGATAAAGAAGATTAACTAAGTATAACTCTTATCCAATCATCCTAGCTTCGTCTTCTTTCAAAAATAATTAATGATTTATTATGCAAAGAAGAACTTATTCATAGTCCAAAGAGACAATAAAGCAAGAATAAAAAGAGTAGAATCATATTTGACATAAAAGTTGATCTTATGCTTTTAAAGGGTTCCATTATTAAATTAGAACAATAAATCAAAGAAAGTTTTAAATTACATCAGGAAATACATTCTAAATTTCTATTGATATAATATTAAGACCAAGATTATAAAGATGATGATCAATTTGAACATTTAGATATTATGAGATTGGTCTAAATCTATTAAAATGAAATGGAATATGTGAATGAATATTTTAACAGGATAGAAAACAATCCCAATAATTCAAATACTCATTCTTTAGATATATTAAATAAATCCTATTAAGAAATGCTTCTTGATGACAATATCATCGTCATTACACAATATGTAATAATGTGAAACATATATATATTTATAGTTTTAAAATTTGTATTAGATGATTGATGATCTTGAAAATTTGAAATAAAAACTCATTTAATATGAAGAATTCGAGTCCCAATCAACTAACTTTGAAAACTCAAGGAATTCATCTACAAATGAAAGTAAATTACTATAATATAATTTATAGAACATTTCACTAGAACTAAAACTTAAACATATGAATTATGTGAACAATAGAGGATCAACATTTTGAAAGAAATAACAAATGAAATCAAAGAGAAATCTTCTGAAACATGTATAAATTGTAGTATATTTTGAATTAATTTATTGTATATATTATATTTTGCCCTATTACTCACAATAGATACTTATCATGTGGTACTTTCTTAACAACACCATGTTAAATTCCACATTATTAAGTTGTGACACCTAAGTCATGTAATAAATAATCGCTGGTCTTAACAAGAGGATCATCGCCTATAGAAATATATATAACATTATAGAATACCTGCTGGTAATTCAGTGAGATATCTCATTCTTTAGAATTATCTATTATAAGTATAATCTCCGATTGTATTGTATGTCTTCATTTCCAAGATTTTTCCACCATTTCCTATAGATAACATAAAAAGAGTACCATTCTCTCCAAAAATGAATCCTTTCACAACTCCATCAACAACAAGCTTTGTAAAAAAGCATCCAGCTAATACACCAGCAATATATGGTGCTGATTTCTTTAATGTTTTGAATGTGTAGTTCAATTTGACCATATCCAACGATGTAAATGTTTACAATTACTATGGTGTCATTGTACGAGGATTTGGCCATAATTTAGGATCCACAACATTTGGAATCTTGAATTCAGGTAATTTAGACATAAATAAATTAATATCATTTTTTCAATAAACTTTAACTCAATGGTTGTTTTCTTAATTAAGAACATCCAAATGATACTTATTTTTATATATTTATAGGTTTCCTTTTAAATTCATTCTCTTATTTATCCTCATAATGTTCTATAATCTTCTATATAGGTTTATAATTCTAATTTCTTGAAAGTTCTTTAATTGATAAATTCTCCTTTTAAAGTTCTTCATATAAATCTTTCATTCTTTCATATTTTTACTATAATTATTCATATTTCTTTTATTGCTATTCTCTTTATTCTTATAATAAAGCCATTTCTTTTTATACAGTTTTAAATTGTCCTACTTTAATTACATATAAATCATAAATCTATTTAGCTTATTCATTTGGACTCTTTTATCGTATTAATTTTAAATACATATCTTCATGTGGATTGTTTATTACTTTAGCTAAATTTTCCAAATAATCATAACCTTTCAATTAAATCTCATACTTTTCAATATTTTAATTTAACTTTTTATTTTCTTCCTCTAGTGATTAAAAACAAATTTCTAGCGTTTTTATTTATTAATCTTGCTATTTTTCTTTTATTTCTAATTCTGTATTCTTTTCCAAATATCTTTTAAGTTCTGCTTATATATGTTAAACTTCACACTATATGGATTCATTCTTTTCTTCAACAAATTTATTTCTTTACATAATTCTTTAATTTTCATGCATTAATTCTTCATGATCTGATAATAATTTAGCCATATGTTATTTCTAATCAACACTCAAATCATTTAATAGTTTACTCATCTATTCATCAATACCTGTTATTTCTTCAACTGCATAATGTAAAGACTATATATCTGTAGATCTCATACGACAATTTGGGCATTTTCTTGAATTTTAATGGCAATTTACACCACAATTATAGTGAAACACATGTCCACATACTGTAAAAACGCAAAGATCCTTTATCATTGGCTCTAAACAAATTGTGCATATTGGAATCTCAAAGATTTTTCTACCTTTTGCTTTAAGAGTACTCATTTTATTATATTGAAATATATTAAAAAAAAATAGAATATATTATTATTTTAATCAATCTATTATTACTTATTTAAAATATTACCAGGATATCATATTTATTATCAAAAATATTATAATATATTCATTAATATGCACTCGATCTAACTTATTAATAATTTATGTAACACTATATAGCTTAATCTATATTATATTGAGGAAAATAATCACTGAATTGTTTACTATTCTCAAAAGATTGATAAAATTCTAAATTAGGCATTTCCAAAGGGTTTTTCATAAATTACTTAGCTGTTTCACCTGTAAATTTTGATGATTAAATTCCATATCTAGATGGTTGCAAATCTTATTACTATTATAGTTGATATTCCCCTTATTCTGATTCTGAAATACAAGAATTAGACTTTCTATCTGAACGGATTTTTTATTATTATTACTATTACGGTTGGGTTGTGTGATACTTCTAATATTTTGAAAGTGTATTTTAACTACAATTATCCATTTGATTCTATATTCTCTTTTAATGATAAAATACACTATCTTGTAATTTGAGTCTTTTCATTTGAATATTAATTAATTCCTCTTTTTCTTATATCGAAATAATATTATTTGGAGTATTCTTACTACCATTACTGCTGTAAGGTAAAGAGAATACATTACCACTCGAATTTTTATCTGAAGATCCATTAATGTTTTTTCGATTAACTGAGACATCCTTAAACAGTTAACCATATGAACTGTGAGACATTCCACTTTGTGGTTATTGAACATACTAAACTGGACTAATATTTGGAATATCAATTATTTAATATTATTATTATTATTATTATTATTATTATTATTATTATTATTATTATTATTATTATTATTATTAAAGAGAGTGTAATGACTCACGCATAGAGTATAATGATCCTCTTCTTGGGGTCTATTAAGATTATTAAAATGAATTTTATCTATCTGTATAACGATGACTAGCTTCTCCCATGTAAGCTTATTGAATACTAATCACTTCATCTAAGTATTTTTTGTTATCATCTGTAATATCTGATTCGATGTTCTATTACTAATATTAAAGAGCAGCCTCTTCTATTTTTAGAATGATTGATTTTAATCTTTTTTATTTTCGTCTAGCTTTACTTCTGAAATAATTTCTACGAATTTATTAATCGTTTTATTAGATATATTACACTAATATAGATTTTTTTGGAACATAATGTACATGATCACATTCATCGATGTCATGAAATTTACCACATACATAACAAGACAATTAACATAAACTATAAATTTCATAAAGAACAATTTGATCAACCATCATCTTATATTTTTATCGCTCCTAATAATGAGATTTTATAAATTCTAAAAAGAGATCTAGATCTAATTGAGCTATTTGAGAATATCCTATTGATGTTGCATTTATGTTAGAATAAGCATTTTTGAAGAAGGCTTGATTATTGAAAATAGAATCTTTTCCAAGTACCTTAATTTTAAAATCAATACCTGCCTTCTTCTAAGAGATCTACACATCACCTGACAATATTATGAATAAATGTTAATTAGATGTTTATTACATTAACACTATTTAATTTGGAATGTAAGTATACTCTTGTATCAGACTACATATCTATTTTAAAGTGTTTTCTGAGAAAGAAGATTTAAATATAGGTATTTTTGAGAGGAGATGATAATAACGCTAAAATTTCACATCATCCACAAATGTCTAAGGTAATTGAGATAAGAAATTCATATCAATAGATTTTTAAGAATTTAATTTATTCATATAAGCTTTTATTTACTACTTAGTAGAGCATGTTAATTATAATTTATTTAATAATTCCAAATTATCTTAGAAAGTCAATCTAAAAATACAAAAACAATAATATATAAGAATGAGCATTCTAATAATATAAGTTATTGCATTACTATTATCTGATTTATACAACAATACAAGGAATTCATTATAGAAGTTAATCTACTTATTATGATTATATTGAAGTATAGACAAGGCAGTAAATTAGATAAAATGAAATTCCATAATATAATATGTAAATTTAATAACTTTACCAAATATTAATTCTAATTCTTTTATTAATTATCTTAATTTCCAAAGTCGAATAATATGTAAAATCTATATGAAATGACATTGTTCTGATGATAATGCAAAAATTACAGGAATTATTGTGATTAAATCAAAAATTGATTACTTTCTAAANGATTATTAAAATGAATTTTATCTATCTGTATAACGATGACTAGCTTCTCCCATGTAAGCTTATTGAATACTAATCACTTCATCTAAGTATTTTTTGTTATCATCTGTAATATCTGATTCGATGTTCTATTACTAATATTAAAGAGCAGCCTCTTCTATTTTTAGAATGATTGATTTTAATCTTTTTTATTTTCGTCTAGCTTTACTTCTGAAATAATTTCTACGAATTTATTAATCGTTTTATTAGATATATTACACTAATATAGATTTTTTTGGAACATAATGTACATGATCACATTCATCGATGTCATGAAATTTACCACATACATAACAAGACAATTAACATAAACTATAAATTTCATAAAGAACAATTTGATCAACCATCATCTTATATTTTTATCGCTCCTAATAATGAGATTTTATAAATTCTAAAAAGAGATCTAGATCTAATTGAGCTATTTGAGAATATCCTATTGATGTTGCATTTATGTTAGAATAAGCATTTTTGAAGAAGGCTTGATTATTGAAAATAGAATCTTTTCCAAGTACCTTAATTTTAAAATCAATACCTGCCTTCTTCTAAGAGATCTACACATCACCTGACAATATTATGAATAAATGTTAATTAGATGTTTATTACATTAACACTATTTAATTTGGAATGTAAGTATACTCTTGTATCAGACTACATATCTATTTTAAAGTGTTTTCTGAGAAAGAAGATTTAAATATAGGTATTTTTGAGAGGAGATGATAATAACGCTAAAATTTCACATCATCCACAAATGTCTAAGGTAATTGAGATAAGAAATTCATATCAATAGATTTTTAAGAATTTAATTTATTCATATAAGCTTTTATTTACTACTTAGTAGAGCATGTTAATTATAATTTATTTAATAATTCCAAATTATCTTAGAAAGTCAATCTAAAAATACAAAAACAATAATATATAAGAATGAGCATTCTAATAATATAAGTTATTGCATTACTATTATCTGATTTATACAACAATACAAGGAATTCATTATAGAAGTTAATCTACTTATTATGATTATATTGAAGTATAGACAAGGCAGTAAATTAGATAAAATGAAATTCCATAATATAATATGTAAATTTAATAACTTTACCAAATATTAATTCTAATTCTTTTATTAATTATCTTAATTTCCAAAGTCGAATAATATGTAAAATCTATATGAAATGACATTGTTCTGATGATAATGCAAAAATTACAGGAATTATTGTGATTAAATCAAAAATTGATTACTTTCTAAAATACAATTAAGTTAATTATTCAAATGTATTAATTATATCACCATTATCATACTATTCGAATAGAATTTGATTGAAAATGTATATTATTTAAATGACAATTAATAAAATCTAATAAGTATATTGCTTTTAAAAACTGTCTTATAAATGAATCAACATGTAAGTAATAAAGAAACAGATATACATACAATATGTAGCATTACAAAAATGATAAAATAGATTTTATTTTTTTGGATGGAAACTAATTCCATTTGAATTATTTGGATTAAAATCAGCAGCTTTATCTTAAATAAGGTTATGCTGAAAGGAGGAATTAGAATTTATAGTATTTAATGATATTAATCCACTCCATTAAACATCACTATAGGAATGTAAAGGTTTTTCATCGATTAATATACTTTATTAACTTAAATTGTTCTGAGTTGCTTTATGAGTCTTCTTATATCGATCAGTAATTTATATAGAGTGTTCTTTGTTGCTAGGTTCCTCATTTATTAAAAGCAAATCCTTTATCTCACATTATGGTGGTCTGTCTGAAGCAATATGAGGTGTTACAGTTGGAGGGGATTGGATCATTTCTTAAGCACCATCAGATGGTTTTCTTACTTATAGCTAATGTTTATTAACGACAGTCATTTTTTAGACAATAGGTTGGATATATGTGTGTATTGAATCATCCATTGAGATAGACATTGATCTAGAACAAGAACCTTATTGAATATTTGGATGAGGCTGCACTAGCATTATATTAGTTAATTTAAATTACTACTCAATATAATAATAATAGGTTATTCTATAGAAAATTTAAATATTCTTATAAAACAATAGAAATAAAAAACTCTTTTTTTATTTGTAATATATTAATAATGTAAAATGGATAACTAGTATTAATTGGCTATTAGAAATGATTAAATTTAAAGATTATAATTTTTCATTATTATTATATTTTATGAGAATGCAATTAATTCCTAAATGAAAGGAATTAAATTTATTAACAATGTATTAGGCTGTAAGAAATGACATAATTTAAATTAGACATATAAAATATTAGAATGAAAATTAATTAATTGTTAATTTCGTATTTATAGAGGGAATCCATTAAAATATAAGGTATATATTTAGAAATACTATTTTCAAATTGATAAATAAATGCCTCATAATTTATAATTAAATTATTCTAGATATGTTTGCGAAGCTACTCTCTCTTAATCCTAATACATCATCATCAATTGAAATATCAAAACCGATATTTTCAATAGGAAGAGATTAGAAGAATGATAAAGTGTTTTCTGATATCAAGGTAAGTGCTAACCATTTGACAATTGAGTATAAGGATTCTTAATTTACTGTCACTGATTACTCTAGTAATGGAACATATATCAATGAAAATAAGATTGGTAAAGGAAACACAGTAACAATTTTAAATGGAGATAAGATTCATTTACTCCCTATATAAAAGGTTAAAGACTATGAAGTTATTGGTTTTGAATTTGTTGTGTGTATAAATACTGAACAATAAGCTTCTAAATTATCAATAGAATCAATAGACCGATAAATTTCTGATGAAAAAAGAGAAGTAAAAAATGAGAATATATTGAACACAAAATAAGTTGAAAATCAAGTTGAATCTTAAATAATTAATGAACCATCTAAATAGAAGAAAGAATAATCACCTCCTCCTGTTCCTAAAATTGATGGATTAGAAGATGAATTATAATGCACTATTTGCAATGATTATTTGTTTGAAGCTGTTGCAGCAAATCCTTGTAATCATCATTTCTGTGGTTCTTGTTTATCTAATTGGTTTAAAAAATAAACATATGAATGTCCAAATTGTAGATCAAAATTAACTGGAGTAATGTAGGCTAGAACCATTAATAATTTAGTTGAGAAATGGTTAAAGATCAATCCTCATGAAAAAAGAACAGAATAATTATTAAATAAGATGAAAGAAGAAAATCTCATTTATAAAAACCCTTAAGAATATATCAATTTAAGTGCTAAATTCAATTCAGATTAATAATAAAAGAAAATATAATTAAATAGAAATATTGAAGATGAATAAGATATTTATAGTGATGAAGAAAATGAAGAAGAAAATGATGAAGAAAATGATGAAAATTATTCTAATGATGATGAATATTTAAGTAATGATGATAACTTTGATGATAATAAGCAGAATTAATAAATTTAATAATAGTAATAATATATTCCATTGTAATTTTAAAATAATGGTTTTTAGGGTTTTAATGGTTTATTACCTTAAAATAACCTAAATGGTTTATATCCTTAAAATAACCTTAATGGTTTATTTCCTTAAAATAACTTCTAATTAGCTCATGGTTAAAATTTGTTTTAATAATAATTCATTTAACAAAATAAAGTATGTAAAAGTTGTAATGGAAAAATTTGGAAGAACTTTTAATGTCCTCCATTTTAATAACATGTAGGTTGTGCTTCTTGTGCCAGATTAATGCCTAAATTAGATCCTAGTAATTATATTATTAATATATATAGGTGATGATGATAATGAAGTGTTGTAAATGTAATGTTGTATATGTAAAGCATATCATTGTACATTTTATTATGGTGATTGTAATAATGCTGCACTTTAAAAGTTTATGCTTGTAAAAAATATTTAACATTAAATGGTGATTCCTTATAATTATGTAAATAGCACTGAATATAACAGATTACTTAAACATCTTGGAGGAAGACCTTAAATTGTAATCTTTAATTTTATGATGGATAATTATATTAGTAAAGGTTATTTTTATTTTTAATAAAATAAATCAACATTCAATAATCCAATTTAAGAAATTAATGTTAAAATATCTCAAAATTCAGTAATTTTATATAATATATATATTTAGCCAATATGCTGGTTATGCCATAGGAAATTAATCAATTTTATAATATTTAGATATGTTTAATGTATGAAATATGATGAACCTCTTTTTATGAGAGAGGATTGTCACTATGGCATAAATTGTAGATTATAATAATAGAATTAAGTTCATGCCTAAAAATATAATCATTTTTGTGAATAAACTAAATTTGATTGAATTTATACTAAAATAGAATTGATATCAAATATATTTTGTTAAAAATTATATATATAAATGAATTAATTTAAGATATTGATTAGGATAAAGAGATTAAATATAACATAATTTTGATAATGTTTAAAATACTTCATAAATAGGAATGTTCTATTAAATTTTGGAAAATTCGTATAATAAAAATAATTGGGTTTATTAAAATTGAGTTCAATAACAACAAATAATGAGTTCAGTATGAAATTTAGAAATATTATCATAAGTCTTTGATATGTTATAGCCCATAAAATATAATTTTGTAATTGCATACTTTATATATACAATATATATACTATTGATAAATGTGAAAAGTTGAATCATGAAAGTTTTCTTTAGGTTTCAAGAATTTTTTAGACTGAAACAATAGCATCTTATCTAAAGTAGAGATTGACATCCATTAAATTTTCTGGTAGACTTTCTTCTTCTTCATAACTTTATACTTCTTAATCTAATCGAAATGATTGAATTCTTTTTCGTTATGCTAATTTATAATTGACATTTTGAGAATTGTAAAATCCTTATATTCTTTTATTTTTCTTGATTGTATTGGATGTGCTTATACGAGATTAAGAATCAAAGATAGGTTTTTGATCATAATCAGAATTGAAAACACTTTTAATACTATCGAAACTTTCTGATTCAAATTAACTCACATTTCTTTATGTTTTGTATTTGTTGCTTTATATTTAGATTGATTTGACTTATTAGATAGATGGTTCAGATTCTAAGAGAGATTAAAACAAAGTCTCTTGTATTTGATTAATCATTATAACTAATATTGATGATATTATTATTTAAATCAACATAGATGATAAATGTTGAAATTATATTAGATATAAATTTAACAATATCAGATATATATATATATATATATTAAACATAAATATATATTATAGTTAAGAATATCTTTATTATTTTGATTAATAGAAACTATTATCAATAATAATATATAAAATATAATAGAAATGGAATAATAAACATTTGATAAATGCAAAGAAACTTAAAATTAAGAGAAATATATTTGTCTCAATAAATAATGTTATTCATAAAAAAGTTTAAGATTGCATTGTCATGAATGTTTAGTGAAATTACATAATACAAATAAAAAAAATTTAGATCATATTGATCAATTTATTTCTTTTGAATTCATAGCTAATGATGTGCTGAATAGAAATAATAAAAAGATTGATTTATATAATCAAGTTATGATCAATGTAAATCAACTAAAAAAAGATAAATTCAAAGAGTTGAGCACATTAAGTATTTATCTACAAATTTATGATAAATTAGAATCATTTACAAATAAGAGTTTAGAATATTAGAATCAGATTTTCAAAAAGTTTGATTAATATGTTGAAGCAGTCCCTAAAGAAATAAAAGATTAAATTTCATCATTAAGAGGAGGTTTATTATTGTAAATAGGGAACCTTTAATTTTAAATTGAATAGTACTTATCGAATGATTAAATCTTTGAAGATCGTTTAAAGAAATTTTTGGAAACAGTCTAAAAGAATTTTTAATATGAAATTGATTATGAAGAACAAGATTCTTTAATAATTAAGTAAGATTTGATTGTTAATAAAGGAATATCGACATCGAGGAAAATGGCAAAAAAATTAATTATTTAAAAGAAGTTAATATTATGTTAAATAATGATTAACTTTTAAAAATAATAACATTTATTATAATCATTGCATTATCATTATTAATCTTTTTAATGTATCAATAAGATAATTAGCTTTGAAAGTAATATAAAAAATTAATTGTAGACTTTAAATAACTATATAATAACAATCTTAGTATATATTTGATTTATAAAAACTACTAATATAAGAAATTTAACTATTAAGATAATAATAAGATAATTAAAGTGAATTTATAATTAATTAATAAAATGAAACTAATTAAGCAAATAATTATATCAAAAATATTTTAATCAATAATGATTCTAAATTAACTCTAAAAGTTATTTAATTATTTAATAAGACAAATGAAGAATTTAATAATACTCATAATCTCTTAAACGAAGTAAAATAGAATATTTCAAAAATTCAATTAAATTTTGAAACCAATAATTAAATAGAACGCTTTCTAATTAATGAATAATCAGAAATTCTTACTTAATAATATATTATTGATAAATTAATAGTAAAATAGTAATTGAATTTCAAATAAGGTGAATTGATATACAAAAGTAAAAGGGATGGATTAACTATGGAAGCATTTTGGAAATCTATGAAAAAATAAGGTTCCACTTTACTAATAGCTAAATTTCAAAACTTAGAAATAGTTGGGGCTGTCACAATACCTTCCTTTTAGCCTTTAGTTTTTGGAGATTACTAGGCAGATCTTACAAAATAATCATTTCTATTTTCATATACAAATAATAGGATATATAAATTAAGAGATTATAAACATACTTTATATTCTTAATATATGTAAGGACCATAATTTGGATAAGGTCCTGATTTAAGTTTATAAGGATCTACATTTAACTAAAGTTATAGTAATATTGGATATACTTATGAATATTATAAGGAGAAGGGAGAATCTATAATAAATCAATCATCCAAGTTAATAGAAATGGAAGTATACTTATTAAATTGATTAAAATACAACATTATGTTTATTTAAATTACAATTAAGTAAACATCTTAAATGTATAATATCATTTCTTTGATCCAATTTAAAATAATGCAGCACATAATTCTGTTATTTCTTCTTTATGTTATGATGAATCATATGGTGGCACTTTTAAAACATTAAATGGGTAATAAACTCTAGAGAAGTTAGGGAAATTTTGTTTTGGTGGAACTCTAGAATTAATACCGAATCTACAATTATTTTCAATGGTACAACCACTTTCAATCATACCTTATATTTATAATATAATTATACATCTCATTTCAAATACATTACAATCACCAATATTAGTATTTTCAACCTTGCATCCAATTTCAAATACATTATAAGAACCTATCAACATTTTCTTAAAATGATTATTTCTTATGATGCATCCTTCTTCTATTATAGTATAATCTCCTATAATGATTTCACCTATTTCTGATATTATTTGTACTCCCAAAGCTATACAACATCCTTTACCAACTTTTACATTATCCTTATTGATTTGACTTAATATAAGGGACATTTTTTAATTATAATTTAATTTATGAATTACATTTTAGTTGAGTAAGATGAAAGACTTTAACTATTGATAAGTATTGTTAAGAGAATAAAATCAAATACTGTTGTAGTATTCTCTGAAAATTAAATTAATGTAACATAATTCACATCATTTAGTTTTTGTAAGAGCTATTTATATTAATGGGAATAAAAACTAAATTCAGAACATAATAACAACCAGCTGATCAAACATTATAAATTTATTATGATCCTCCTTTGACAGAAGTTAAGAGTGGTTTAGTGTTTGTTTTACCTGAAGAGAAGATACCTAATTGTACTGAAAGCAAATTAGAAAAAAATAAATAAGAATAATTTGCAAATTAAGAAGTTATGAAACTAGTTTCTAGCAATTATAATCTTAATTGTTTAGCTGATAAGGCATATAAAGATTTTGTCTATGTATAAATATTGAATTAATTATAGATATATTAAAATAAATTAGATCAAAATAATTATGATGTCTTAAAATTGAATCCTATGAGATTATGTAAATCTTTTGGATTTGAAGTAACTCCAAAATTAAATAGTAAATTATATAAATTATATAAATAATTTAGATTTCAGATTAAGATCAAGTAAAGAATATCCATAAAAATAGACTAAAACAAATTAAACAAAATCTAAAAAAATAAAAAAATAATCTAAAATTATTAATGTAAAAAAGCATAAAAATTGATTATATATAATGTGTTTTCAGTATATAAAATCTTAAATATTATCATAAATCATTCAGCTTCATTTGTTAATGATCTTTTTACTGCAGTCATTGGTCTAAATTATTATTATTTTGAAGAACTTGTAAATAATTTTGGTACTGCTGTTTATAATCTACTTGCAGCACTAAATAATCTTGATCCTTTTACAAATGTAGTTGTTGTTGGATATGATTCTACATCTGATACAAATCTTTAATATATATTTTCATTAAATTAACTAATAATTTTAAGTGATTTTTTATGAGTAAAATGATTTTTAGGTAAGTATCTTTCTAATTACAATCCTTTCATAATAGGTAAATCATGATTTGTTTATTTAGCTTAAATCAATACTTTTCTTAGTAAATGATTTTACTTAAAATTTTATTTGATTTGATGATTAAATTATTTGTAATATTCAAGTATTCTATCTTCTTTAGTCTCTTTTTAATCATCTTCTGTATTAGTTGTCTTCTATTTTGCATACTTTAATAATTTAGAAGCAGAGAGATAATTATGATATGTTTTAGGTATCTCATTTTTAAATTCAGAATAATCAATTGGTATAATTACTTCTTTTTTACATTATTATTTTCTTAACTTCCAAAATTATGCTCTTATATGATAATTCTAACAAAATGTTTCATATAAACAACTTGAATTCAATAAAATTTTTAATTAATGATATCCTATTCTATAATATGTAGTATGTTGAGTAACAACTGCTTTATGTTATCTTAATTCATTTGATTCTACTAATTCCATTTCTCCAAAAACACATTTAGGTCCCAATAATTATAATTCTATATCTTCTTGTATTAATTTGATTTCCCCTTACACTATTAAATAGAATGAATCAGCTGTTTGTTTCTCTTAATATAAAATTGTATTGTTGGTAGCTTATTCTTATTTAAATTAATCCAATTGATTTTTCAATCTTTAAATACTTATTTTGCTAAAAACTGAATATTGTTGAATTAGATGTAATTTCTAAGCCAACAAATTCTCATGATATTCTCTAATAAGATCATTGTATCCATCATGACTTAATACAATAACCCAAGCATCTCTTATAACTGTTCCCACTTCATTCACAGTATCAGTCTAAACAAATGTTCTTTACCCTATTTGTATTTCTCCAGTTAACATTATCTGAAATTGTGAATCACATTAACTATTTGCAGCTAAGAATTTTAATGATAATTAATGTATGATCTTCTCAATCAATCTCATTGACATTCCTTCAGTTATTACTTTAAGATATGGTATATGCTATAGGAATTTCTTCAATTACTCTACATCAGAATAATGTTTATGAGGTCTTCCTAAAAGAGATCGAAAATACTGCAATATGGGAGAGTTTTAATACATCAAAATTCTATAAAATTGAGTAATTAGTGGATTCTAATTTGCGTTTCATCTGACGATCCAATTCCAATGCTCCTAACATCTTTACTTTCTGTTTGATTGCTTTCTTCATTATTTTTATTATTTATTGTACTACTACAATAAATAAGAAAATTTTAAGAATAGAAATACCAATCTCATATATATAGTCATCAATTTAAGTTTCCAAATTAATACTTAATAGACAAGAAAGAAAAAATATAACAACAAACTTATAGATTTAAATATTTTAAAGAAATTTGGGTTTGGTTTTAAAAAATCATATAATTTCAATAGATAATCCATTACATTTAATCAACTTCATTTAGCTTTGAAAAATAGAAAAAATAAACATGAATATAACATGAGTTATTCTATAGAGAGAGGAAATATAAATTAAAGAATAAAAGATAGATATGATAGATATTTATGTAATCTAGGTAATTGATTGTTAATACTTCTAAGATATAATGAATTTGTTATGAATGAGATTATTTGACAAAGAAAAAAAAAAGTATGATTATTTGTTGATATGGTAGAAAATTGTTATTTATGTTCATTATTTTTAATTGAAGATAATTTTCAAAGATTAGGGAAGTATTTGATGGTGATGTTTAAATATGAAAATTTTGAAAATTAAAAAAATATTGTAATTAAATATAAATTACAAATAATTTATTTATTAAATTAGTGATTCATATTAATTTATAAATAATATCATTTAAATTTAGTAAAGAATTATCTTTTTACCAGAATTTATCAGAAAATTTTGGCTTAAATATCGCAATTTAGGATCATTTGTTTTTAATAAAATAAATAAAAATTAAAAAATCATGGTTAACTTTACTGTGGATCAAATCAGAGAGATTATGAATAAGCAATAAAACATCAGAAACATATCAGTCATCGCTCATGTTGATCATGGAAAGTCAACCCTGACAGATTCTCTACTCTGTAAAGCTGGAATCTTGTCAGCAAAGGAAAGTGGAGACAAAAGAATGACTGACACAAGAGAGGATGAACAGTTAAGAGGAATTACAATTAAGTCTACAGGTGTGTCTTTATATTATGAATATGATATTAACTACAACAACAAAAAGGAGTAGTTTTTGATAAATTTAATTGATTCTCCAGGACATGTAGACTTTAGTTCAGAAGTTACAGCTGCTCTTAGAGTTACCGATGGAGCCTTGGTTGTTGTAGATTGTGTGGAAGGAGTCTGTGTATAGACAGAAACAGTATTGAGACAAGCTATGTAAGAGAAAATAAAACCAGTTGTGATGATAAATAAGATTGATAGAGCAATATTGGAATTAAAACATGATGGTGAAACTATGTATCAAAACTTTGTTAAAGTTATTGATAATGTGAATGTGATAATTTCAACATATCAATAAGAAGATATGGGAGAACTATAAGTACAACCAGAACTTGGATCAGTATCCTTTGGATCAGGTAAGGAATGCTGGGCATTTTCATGTACAAAATTTGCTATGATATATGCTGCTAAATTCAAGGTTGAACCAAAAAAACTACAAGAAAGATTATGGGGTGATAATTATTTTGATGATGAGACTAAATGTTGGAGGAAGGATAATGAAGGATCTTCAGGAAAGTAATTGCAGAGAGCTTTCGTTACTTTCATTATGGATCCTATATGTAAATTGGCCAATGCAGTCATGGAAGGTAATATGGAAATGGCTAATAAGATGTTCAATGTCTTAGGGTTGAAACTTACATAAGAGGAATAGAAATTAGTTGGTAAAAATCTTTTAAAAACTGTTATGTCTAAGTGGATTAATGCTGCTGATACTTTGATTGAGATGATTATTACTCATTTACCTTCACCTAGAGAAGCATAGAAATATAGAACAGCTTATTTGTATGAAGGTCCTTAAGATGATGCTATAGCCTAATCAATGAGAGAATGTAATCCTAAGGGACCTTTGATTATGTATGTATCAAAGATGGTACCAACTTCAGATAGAAGTAGATTCTTTGCTTTTGGTCGAGTGTTTTCAGGTACTATAGGAACAGGATAAAAAGTTAGAATTATGGGTCCAAATTATAAGGCTGGAAGGAAAGAAGACTTATTTGAAAAGAGTATTTAAAGAACAGTATTGATGATGGCAAGTAAAGTAGAATATATGCCTGATGTACCTTGTGGTAATACTGTAGGTTTAGTTGGTGTGGATGATGTTTTATTAAAGACAGGTACCATCTCAGATCATCCTGAATGTCATTTGATCAGATCTATGAAATATTCAGTTTCACCTGTAGTTAGAGTGGCAGTCAAACCTAAGAATCCAGGAGAACTACCAAAATTAGTTGAGGGATTAAAAAGATTAGCCAAATCAGATCCTTTAGTACTTTGTACAACAGAAGAATCAGGATAGCATATAGTAGCAGGATGTGGAGAATTGCATGTAGAAATATGCTTGAATGATTTAGAGAAAGATTTTGCTAATATTGAAATAATTAGATCAGATCCTATTGTATCTTATAAGGAGACTGTTTCAGCAACATCTAAAATTGTATGCATGGCTAAATCACCTAATGGTCATAATAGAATTTATGCTTAAGCTGAACCACTTCATGAAGGTCTTTAAAATTCAATTGAAAAAGGTGAAGTAAAAGCAAAAGATGATATTAAAGGAAGAGCTAAAATATTATCAGAATAATTTGATTGGGATAAAGATGAGGCTCTTAAAATATGGACTTTTGGTCCTGACAATGCAGGTCCAAATATTTTAATGGAAAAAACATCAGGTGTTTAATATATGAATGAAATAAGAGAATCAATGGAATCTGCTTGGTAATGGTCAACAAAAGAAGGTCCTCTTTGTGAAGAGAATTAAAGGGGAGTTAGAGTGAATATCTTAGATTGTATATTACATGCTGATGCCATTCATAGAGGAGGTGGATAAATTATACCCACAGCCAGAAGATTGTATTATGCATGTGAATTAACAGCATAACCTAGACTATAAGAACCTGTCTTTCTAGCTGAAATCAATGTTCCTGTTGATTCAACTGGAGGTGTTTATAATTGTTTGAATACAAGAAGAGGAGTAATTATTGAAGAAGAATAAGTTGCAGGAACACCATTATCATTAGTAATTATATCAATTAAATATTTTTAGATTAGAGCATATTTGCCTGTTGCTGAATCATTCGGATTCACAGCACATCTTAGAGGTCTTACTTAAGGTTAAGCTTTCCCTTAGTGTGTATTTGATCATTGGGCTGTACTTAATAGTGATCCTTTGGAAGTTGGTTCTAAAGTTAATGAATTGATATTGAGTATAAGAAAGAGAAAGGGAATTAGAGTTTAGCTACCAGATCTAAACGAATATTTGGACAAATTATGATTTTTAATTAATTTTTTTAAACTTAATTATAAATTTAAATAATACATTATTAAAATTCATTTAATCAATAATGCAAAATAATTCATCATACACCGTTTTTATACCTTTGAGATTATCTGAGCAATTAAAATTAGTCAATTAGAATATAGATCATATAATAGAACAAATCATTGTTATGTTTTATTAATTTTAAACTCTTGAGAACTCTGAGGTAAAATAATATGCCATTCTAACACTTATGGATACATTACTCTTCTATAAGTAATCATCTCCTATTTTTAACAAAATATTTATGACACTCATCACCCTCATGAATCAAATCTTGGATCTATAGTTAAGTTTTTCAGATATCAAATAATGGTCATATTATGTAATTTCCATTACAGCATTAAGTTAAAAACTTTTTACAAATTTCTTATTGGTTGGTTAAAAGAGAGATTCATCTATTTAAGGATTGAAACTTAAAATATATTAATCAAAATACAATTTATAAAAATATGGTTATTAATTTTAAACAGAGAAATTTGAAAAATGGTAATTATATGAAACCAACTCCTTTATTCTCAAGCATTTTGATACAAAAAAGATTGATCCCAATAATTTGAAAGTTTCCATAATTTAAATGGAAGAAGAATAAAACAAAAACACTTTAGAAATTGAAAAGTAAATGATGCTCATATATTTTTAAATATTGATTTTCTAGAATATCATAGAGGAATGTTTAGAAATTTAAATGAAATTTATCAAATTATTCATTAATTAAATGCTGAACTCCAAGATGACAGACTATTTGAATTTATTTAGGATAATAAAATAGAAATCTGGAGAAGATATGCAAATGAATATAGAGATATAATTATAGATTGCAAAAGTACGTATTCCTCTTTACTTGGAACTATCGAGAGATTGTATATGAATTTATAAGACAACAAAGAACACATGAAGTTTTGGATTTAGGTTTTGAAATCTTAAAAAGGTTAAAAATAATTACTGAACGAGATAAAAAGTATTATGTTACATTCATTAGAACAGTTTCCTTAAGAAAGTACTAATATTTTAAATCAGTTAGACAATGCACAACTGTACTAGGTTAATAAACTAAACTAATGATTAATAATTTATATTATATAAAATGTCAGACGATGAACATTTTTCCCTTCATAGCTTTGATCCAGATAACAATATTGATAATGATATCGATCAATTTTATAAGAAATTGAGTCTTTAATTTTATGGTGAGAATAAAAAGAAAAAAGTTTCCTTACTTATGTCCGGTTCGACCAAAGTATAATTGGAATCTCTACATTCTAGGAGACAAGCAAGCCCAGTAGAGACACTTTGCCAGAAGTTTAAAAGGGTTTTATGTATATGACTCCTTTATCTACTCGACCAGGTAGTCCTAGAGTTGGTCGAATTCAAGTACAAAAGAGAGCTACAAATTAAAACTTTTCAGGGAGTCCTTCCAAGACAAGACCTCTATAATCAAAAAAACTTCTCCAACTCCTCCAGTCACCTTATAATTCTAAGAATACTTAGAAACAGGCTTTCATCAAGAAACAAATAGATATGATAAGAAGAATGCAATTATAAGAGTTAAAAGAACATTATTATAAATGATAGAAATATATTTGTTTCTTTCTTATAACTATATATTTCTTGTAAATTTTATGGTCTTTTTAGAAAGTCGTTTATAAATATAAATTTACCATTAGACAAACAAGCTTAGGAAAATCTAACATTTTGAAAGAGGTTAATGTATTCTGTTTGTAAATAGAGTAATAATAGAAGTGAGAATAATTCGGATTAATCTAAAATGGAATAGGAAATATATAGATTATGAATCAAAAATTATAAGAAATCAGGAGGATAGAATTAATGTTCAAATATATATATAAAAGATGGATAAGGAACATATAATCACAATTATGAGTTAGATAAATTACATAATAAATCTTTAATCTAAAGTTATACTGAAATTTGATAAAGAATGAATTAATTTTATATATTCTTGAATCTTGTTTAATAATCTCAATACAAGTTCAATATATTAGAGAATATATTTATGATATTAATTTTATAATTTGTGATTTCAATATGCAATATCATGTTTCTAAATAAGATATTTTGGGAACTCTCCAAGATGTCTTCATAAAAAATAATCATCAATAGGAGAATTAAAAGCATTCTAAAATACTATAGAAACCTTGTTCTGTTATTAAAAGCAATCTAGAATCCAGTACAAGCAAAAACAAGTTGGAGCGGTATTTGGAAAAGTATTAATGTATTAAAGAATAACATTTTAGAAAGAAAATAATTGCAAGATGAAAATAATATTTCCATTGCTTAGTCTATTTAAAATACAAATAATATCAAAGTGCAACAAAAATTAAACGATAGTCAAACAGCTTATTCAAGTAAGATGAGTTTTCCAAGAGAGAACACAGAGAATGATGACAAAGAACAATAATTAACAGGAGTGGGACTATCTCAATATATGTCATAATTATAGCAATCAAAACTACATTGTACATTTATGAATTAGTATTGTTAAACTGAACCATAGAAAAAATAAATGATTATTTAAGGTTTAAATGAGTTTGTTTAAGATCATAATGAATCTAGTAACTCTGTAATTGATGAAATTAAATTATTGAACAGTAAACATACTCAATAGAATACAATATGCTAGTAGATTCAATTGAGTATCCTACTATAAAAAGAATAGTCTATTAAACAAGACTTTTCATGTTAATTTAATACTGAAATCAAGTAATAAGTTGATAATCAATAAATTAATTAAATTTGTTAAATTAATCAAGAAAATAATATACTTACTTAAATTGATTTTGGATGTTAATATGATGAATCTAATAATTAAGTAAGTCTAATTTTAGACGATGAACATCCAAAAAATATTAGAAATAGAAGTAGATGTCAAACATCTGCTAATCAAAAAAATAAAAATAATTAAATTAATAGTGATGATCAAATAACTTTCTTAGAATAAGGTATAAATTTTATATATTTAGAATTACAATTAAGAGATGAAATGTTAGAAACAAAAACACGTATTATTACTGATATGTAATAATAATTAAGTGATTTCTATAAGATTTTTAATAAAGAGAGTGATATCGAAGTTGGTTAATAGGATTTAAATTCATCTAAAGATAGTGATCATTGGAAGGTTGATGAATTGAATAGACAATTAGAGAATGATGTAAATATTTAAGACCAATTAACATAACTCATGTTGAAATATAGTGATGAAATCTTAGAATTGAAGAAAATTCTTGATGATACAACTGAATAAAACAGAAAATTAAAGGAAGAACAGGAATAATTAATAATTCAAATTACTTAATTAAAATAACAATTAGTAGATGTGGAAGAAAGTAAAGCTAAAGAAATAGATATAATCAATTAGGATTATTAAGATAAATTATCAAAATAGATTATGATAATTGATGAATTACAATCTCAAATATGTAGTATTCAGACTAGTCCAACTGATATCCCTTTGGCTTCTATTTAAACTACAATGAATAATATAACAGAACAACATATGGATGAAGTTGGATGTGAATCTTAAACCACAAAGACAATTAATAATTAAAAGGCTAAAAATGTCTTAAAACATATCAACAAAATGACTATTATGACTGCTGGTTGGATGTCAAACAAATAAGATTATGTTACTCTTGGAGTCTTAGGAAGAATTGATTAGATTAAGAGTTAAACTAAATTAGATTCTTTCAAAAAATTAAATTGATCAAAAATGAATACATATTTCAAATACATATTTTGCTTAAATCTTTTGTTATATATAATATATAAATTATTCATGGATCTTGATAATAATTTTAATACCTCTTGAATTATATATTATTAAAATAAATATATATTATATATAATAATTTTAAGATAGTAGAATTAATTATATTTATAGTTTTTTAAGAACTTTAACATTATTAGTTCCTTAATATTTTTGATAGGTTAATTATGCGACATATAAATATTTCATAATTAGATTATCTTGTAGTTATCAATGAAAATATTTATAAGAAATTAAAATTTTATCTTTAGTTACTACCTCTAGAATGGCTAAGGCAATTAAGCATATAGATATACTTGATTGTATGAATTTTGAAATTTAATTTCAATGGGTTAATGAGTTACTAAAATATATAAAAAGTGATGATTTTAAAAAGAATTGTATGAATTTTTGAGATAAGTTTATGAAGAGATTGGATAAAAAGATAATCAATGTATATAATAAGTCAAAATTATGAAGTTAATATTATTTAAGATAAATTCATATTAATTAATTATGATTTAACTAACCTACTTATTTTCTATTACATATTTTACTATAAATTTTATCAATGGGAATAAAGTAATTAGAAATAAATTTAATTTTTATGCCTAGAAAAAATAAGAGATAAAATACAAAAAATAAATCAGAAAAAAATCTAGAACAAAATGAATAAGAAGAGCAAATAGAATCAGCTAAAGATATTGATAAAAATATATAGGGTTAAGAAATTTAAGAAGAAAAAAGTAGTAATTTTATTATATTTCAGATTAAAGTAATGATTAGGTTCAATAATAAATAGTGCAAGTTTCAAATAATGAATAAACACAAGAATAAGTTGAAAATAATATTAAATAAGAATAAAAGGATAACTAAGAATAAATTGATAATTCTAATTAAGCAACAATACAACAAGATAATAATGAGCACAACTAGTTTAACAATATTTAACAATAATAATAATAGAATTGCATAACCTAAACATAAGAATAGACAATCCATACATAAGAAGAAGTTTAATAACATTAAGAATAAGAATAGATAAATTAAGAAGAGACTTAAGATAACAAATCTACAACTTTAATTCAATAGACAATAGAAGATAATTAGTAATCATAAGAGGAAAAAGTAGAACTTATTAATACTGGAACTTCTAATTTATAAGTAGACAATGTTACAAATCAATAAGTTTAATAAGAAAATTCAATTCATGGATAAAATAAAAATGATCTATCCTAATAATTTGAAGAACCCAAATTTCAAAGTCAACCTGCACATGATTCTGTTAATGAAGATATATCAAAACCTTCTTCAAAACCTATATTCTAAAGTGCAAAATAATAAAAAGATGTTGAATTACCTTAAGAGACTTCAATCTAGGAACCTGTGAAGGAAGTTGATGTCGTTAATATTTAATAAAATGAAGTTGTTATAAATGCTTAAACTCCTATTATTGTGGAAAAATAAAATGATTCAGTTATGATTGAAGGTGCTCCATAGACTTATTTGAAAAAATAAAATGATGAAGTCATTTTAGAGAGAGTCTAAGAATAAAAAATGGAAAATTAAGATTAATAAACTAATATTGAAATCTAGCCAAAAATACATATTGAATAACATTAATAAATTTAAGTAGAGAAATAACCATAAACTGAATAAGAAGTAATTATACAAAGAACAGAAAATCAAAACTAAGTTGAAACTTAAAATAATTAAATAGAAATTGTAACAGAAGAAAGTACAAAAGTGTAAACAGAGATGGTTAATTAAGATGTTTACATATAAGAAATGCCAGCTGTTTAATTGAAACCTCAATAAGAAGTTGAAAACGAAGAAATCAATTTGATATCATAAAATTTAGAAACATAAATAGAGAAATCTCCTTAAATTGAAATTCCAATTAATTCATAAACTACAACTCTTCTTGAACATCCTGTTGTTAATTTAGAGGTTAATCAATTCATTCATCAAGTACAACCTAGTCCAGATGTTAATACAGTTTAAACTTAATAAACACATTCTATTGAAAATAAGCCATAAGCAATTATTGAGTAATAAAAATAGGCTTAATTAACTGTGACAGCTCCTTAAACAGAAACTCAAGTTAATAAGATCGAATCTAATTCAGAACCTTAATAAATTTAAAAAGTGGAATCCTAGCAATAATAAACATAATTAGTTCAAGAAGATGTGAAAGTCCAGGTTTAATAATAAGAGGTTATTGAACAAAAACAAGAACTATAAATTGAATAAAATACTAATCTTGAAGGAGCAAGTCAAAATGACACTGTTGTTAAAGTTGAAGAACATCCAATAGATTAGAGTAATAATTTATAAATCTAATAATAATAATAATAATAATAATAATAATAATAATAAGTTCCTAAATCTGCTTAAAATCAAACTTAATAAATTGAAGATTAACAACCATTATTACCATAAAATGATGGCGAATAATAAGGATTAAATAGATCTCATCAAAATACTAATCCACCAACTTCATAAATAATGACATAAATGCCTCAAGAAATAAGTGCATTAGGTTTATCTGTTGCTGCAGCTGCTGGTGCTTCTTAATTTATTTTAAAAAATGGAATAAAATCAAAAGAAGGTTTATTTGCAGCTTTGGCAGGTTCAGCTATCTTGTATGCAGGATATAGATTGTTTAAATCAAAGAGTTAATAAAATTAAAAATAAGATTGAGTTATATTAATAAATAATAATAAAGATAAAAAGTTATATATTAATTAAAAAATTTTATGTATATATCTCTTGAAAAAATTGTAGGAGAACCTTGAATTTAAAACAATCCTTATAATTAACTTATTTCATAAGTTTCTAAGACATATAAACTATGAAAACATAAATCAGATTAACTTTGTTAAAAAAAATGATATATTATAATAATACCTTACACCCTTTATAAAGAAATTATAATAAATTTAACTATTATTTTTTGAACGAGAAAATTAATCAAAATTTAGTGACATAACCAAGATAGGAATAAGAAAAACAGATTTTTTAACTTATCCATTCATCGTCATACATAATTGAGTAAATCCAAATATACAACCAATATATCATTGTATAAATCATAATTTAATGATGAATATAAAATGACTTAAATATATCTAAATCTACAAAAAAAGAGAGAAAATAAAAATGTTGATAATGCAAAAAATAAACTTTGTATAATTTACAAATAAATCATAAGTAAGTACCCTTACAATAGTATACTCCATTAGAGAATCCTTTAGCATAAATTAATTATTTATTCCATCATGTCTTAATAGTCCCATATAATATAATCTATTATAATTCAATCTATTTTAATAAACATTAATTTAACATAAAATTAATTTTGTAAATAAAGACTAATCAATAACAAATAACTCAATTGATAATTTATTCAATAATAATCATTAAATTTATTTAATCATAACGTTTAAAAAGACATTATGGATGTTGTAATATATCTCTAAATTATTGTAATCAATTAAGTTTAAATTTAAGAATCTTTTTATTCAATAAATAAATATAATATAGTAGTGAGGATGATCTCATTCTTATAGATACAAGAGTAATCTCAGTCAAGAAAATGATATTAATTTTTTATATTAAATCCATTTTTTTAATTTCTATAATTATATTTGAATTACAGAATTGAAATCTACTTTGAATAGATGTATTAAATATTAAATCATTGATTATTTTGTTTTTTTCTTATATTTTCAATAAAGTATTATAAAAATGACACATTTAATTAAGGACACCTTTTATAAGGAGAAACTTTATTAGGTCTCCCTTTCTTCCTTTTCATTTGCCTAAGAATAAGCTGGTAAACAAAAAGAAGCTAAACAACCAATTTCAGAAGATGTGTTAAAGAAGGCACTAACTACATATGGTAAAACTGCTGAAGGATAACATTATGCATATTTGAGTTTCATGGCAAATAATTTAGACTTAACCAGTTTACATGTATTACATACATATTTATTATGATTAGGGGATTGAGAAATTCAAACATCTTTAACATATTGATGTTAGCAATAACTCTATTAAGTCACTCAAACCATTGAATGGATTGAAATATATAATTACATTAAAGGCTAGTAATAACAGATTGACAAAATTATTAGACTTAAAGTATTTGATTTTTATAATTTAGGCATATTCCATTGTAAATTATGGATGTAGATTGCAGTAATAATGAAATTGAAATTATTCCAGACCTTAGTTGCCATCGTTTTCTTCGTTATTTGAATCTCTCTTACAATAAGATAAGGCAAATTGAAGGAGTTCAAAAAAACAAGTATTTATAAGTTTTGAAATTGGCTAACAACCATATTGATCATATTGAAAATTTAGACGGAATGAATTTGACTGAATTGGATTTATTTGGAAATGAAATTACTATCTTAGATGGTTTGACTTAATTACCAAAATTGAGGAAACTTGAACTCTCTTAAAATTAAATTAAGAGTTTAAATGGAATTGTAGATCTAATCTCAGTTAGAGAATTAAGAATGGCAAACAATAAAATATCAAGGATAAAAGAATTATCTTATCTTGAAAATCTAGTATTTCTAAGTGTTCTTGATCTTTGTTACAATCCAATCTAAAATAGAAGATATTATAGATGGCAAGTCTTATATAAATTACCAGGTTTAAGAAATCTAGATGGAGTATAAGTTCCTCCAGAGGATATAGTTAAGGCAGAAAATCTTTATGGAATGGATTTAGAGGATAGAAAAAGAATATTTAAAGAAGTCTTGCCAGATGAAGAATTTATAGACAGAAGAATTCATATATCTGAAGTAAATAAATAATATTTATTAATATTATAGTTAATTGAACCAGAAACTGAAGATGAGAATGAGAACTAAGAATTTATAGATCAATATGATAAAACAGGTAAAATGATGTAAAAATAAACAAAATCAATGGGATCATAAAAATCAATAAGTGAAATGGTATTCATACTTTATATATATATATTAGTATCATTCTAATAAGAGCCTATAAGAAAGGGAATATTAATGAAAAAATGTTTAAGTATTTATTATATAAATTTTTAAGATTCTTATCATAAATATCACTTACATGTTATTTTTAAACAATAAGATTTTTAGTTTATTATTTAGAATTTATTATTATCAATATTAGACATTTGAGTTTTTATTCTTAGTAAAATTTTAATGCCATTCTGTTTATTAAATAATTTAATTTCAATCTTCTTTATATTATTTTATGATATAGTGCAACTTAACATCTTATATTCAATTACAATTTTGTTTTATTTCATAAATATTTGTTTTAAAGGATAACAAATTGCTATTAAAATAAATAAAAGAATGTTAAGAAATAAAAATATGTTATGGTTTTGTAATTGATATGTATTTTGAATCAAACATTTTTTATGGATATTCTATTCAAAGACTTCATTACTTAATTTTGATTATTTTTACTAAACAATTTAAAATATATAAATAATATTAATGATAAATTTATCGGTCAGAGAACAAGAACTTATAGAATAAATATGTTCAAAAAACAATAAATAAAACAAAAATAGTAAGCAAGTACTTTGTTAATAAAAATTAATAAGTTAATCAAGTACAAAGCTATTAGCAACTCGTTTGGAGTAAAAATTAAATGAAGTATTTGAAAATTGTTAAATTAGATAATGTAAGAAATAGATGAAAAAAATGAAGGTTATGTAAATATGTAATAAATGGGAAGAATATTTACTTTATTAGATATATTTTAAGCTATATCATATGATTAAAATTATGAAATGGAAGTTTAGGGACTCAACAGTTAATCATAAAGGTTTTTAAATTAGTTGTTACTTTTAGGTAATTAGAAATTGATTTACATGAAAAGGCATTTGCAATTATATCATAAGGAAAAGATATTGCTGATATTCAAGCAGCATTCTGTTTTTTTAGGATTATCTAAGACCCAAATAATTTGGAAGCAACAAAGTCTGCATCTCTTATGATAGATTACTTAGAGAAGATTTTAGAGAAAGAAGTTGATAAGGAATCTATTTTGAGATTCTGTTAAGAATTTTAGCATTATTAAAAAACAAGACTATCAGGAGCTAAAACAGGATATTTAAAAGCCAATTTAGCATAAAATTTAATAGATTCTTATGAGAAAACACATACATTTAAACCTAGTATCAATCCAATTAGTGAAGCATTGTTAAGATAATCTTACAAGAGAGAAAATTAAGAATCTTAACATTCATAAAGATCATCAGATAGTAAAGTGAGCTAACTCTATAAGAAGAAATAATAATCAAATTAAAAAATTAATTAGCTTAAATTAGAATAAGAAACTTAAGAAATGAAAGAATGCACTTTTAAACCATAAATAATATCAAAAAAGGAATTACCTAATGTAGTAGATAGATTATATAAAGTGAAGACAAGATAGGAAGTGGAAGAATAAATTAAATAAAATGAAATAGAGAAATTAGATTAGGAATTTAGTAAATGTTCATTTTAACCTTAAATAAATGGTTGTATGCCTGATATGGAATAAGTTGGTGTAAATGGATATGGTTAAGCAGTTGAGAGATTGAGAAGAGCAAATGATCAAAGATATTTGAGAGAAATTTAATTAAATCATAAACCAAGTGGAGAGAATTATGAAAAAGTAAAAAGAATGGCTTTTATTCCACCAGATATGTTATAGAGAAGTAAAGTTTAGAAAGAAATTCCTATACTTTATATTGATATAAAAATAGGACCTAGTAAAGTTGGCAGATTGGCATTGAGAAAGAATGATAATGTTGAAGAAGTAGTGAAGTCTTTTTGTAAAGTTTGGGGAGTAGCATTATAAGATTATGATTTATTAGTGAATTAAGTTAAGGAGAATTTAAAAAAGTATTAATAATATAATAAATAGTGTTGTAACAGAATCAGAGATGGAAGATTTATGATGAACAAATTATTTTATAATACTTAATATATATATATAATGAAAATAGATAAAATATCAATTGTTTTTGCTTCTAAATAAATTGGAATATGAGGATTGTTATGAAACTCTTTATGAATTTTGAATTGATTGTTATACCTTAGGTTATTTAATGCTGCTAAGTTTTGGATAGAAAGTACATTCGTTGGATTCATTTTACATTTGTCTATCCTATTATTCTTAAATTTTATAATTTCTTTTTTGAAGCCAATTATTCATTCTAGTTATGAATATTTAATATACTTTACCTCTCTACCATCAGATCTATCTCTTTCTTTTGTAAAGGTTTCTTGGAAGGAACTGGTTCTGGTTCCTCATTAATCTATTTTATTTGTTATCTAAAATCAACAAACATATGTTATGGTATTGTGACTTTTGGCTATATAGTAATATGAATTATCATACTTCAGGTTCAGTATTTTGTTACTATTCAGATTGATCAAAATAAAATCTATTGGGTAGACATACTTTTTAAGTAGTCGGTTCTTCTTATTCTTAAACTTATTAATATTCACTTTCTTATTATTCTGGAGTACCACTAATTTACTTTTTGTATTCTGAGTATAATGTATTTGACATATTTTTAGTAAAATAGGGATGTGAATCAGATGTATTACGCTTTGTGGTTTCTAATTATAAATGAAATTGTAAAAGAATATTTACATTAAATAGTTTCATTGCTCTTTCTTACTACATACAATCTCTCAAAAACACTTGGTTAATTGGTATCAACTTCATGTGTTAAGCGGTTCGCATTTTATTATAATTCTTATGTCTATCTAATTGAAAATTCACATTTACAGCATCCTCATAGCATTGTTATAATCTTTATGATTTTCTTTCATTCCATCTTAATAGATCATCAACTGTTCTTTAAATGTTAACAGATTTCTTATTGATCTAAAATTAATTATCTTATTATTTCTTACCGAAGGCTTAAAAGTATATTCCTCTTATTTAGCACTTGGAATGTTTGGTTTATGACTGTTTCTTTGATTTTGAGTGGCAAAGAATGTGATTCTTTGTAATTCTTCAGGGCTGACAAATAGTTCTGTTGATTAACTTTTTAACATTTATTATAATCATTATTATTTTATTTTCGAATTATTTAATATTGGGGGGGGGTGTTCCAATAGGCCATCCTAAACTAAGTGTCACTCATTTAATGGAAGAATTAAAATTTAGAATTCAATATATTTCTGGCCTCTCTTTTTGTATAGAAAGAATTATAAATGAGAGAAGATTAAAATTTCTGAATTTAATATAAATTATAAAATATAAATTATAAAATATGCAATTTCAGAATTTTAAATTTATTTTACTTTCTATTCATATACACTTAAGATGAAATTATTGAATCTGAAGTGAGATAATGAATTCAATCTAAAAAATAAGCAGAATCAGTCAAGTTTCCTTTCCTTATAAATTTATCTGATCCTCAAATGTAAGTAAGCGTTGCAAATTTCAGAATTAAATCAATTGTTTTTTGGTTTATATTGATGAAAACAATATCTATATATGTATAGTAAACATAATTCTACAATAGACCTGTGTTAAAATTTATAGTAATATATCAATTAAATATTATATGAAACCATAAACCAAATGGGTCATTCTCTTTCTAACAAGCTTGTCTTAATTCTCATTTCGAGTCTTTGTGGATTATCCATCACTATTGGCTACTGAAATCAAGGATCATTTCATAGTGAATCAATTCTAAATAAACCTATTATTTTCATTTAGATCCTTTCCTAATATTGTTATGCCTTTTGTTGGAGGAATGTTATTGGATAAATATGGAACAAGAAAAGGTCTATTTGGATTCATGTTATTCATTATTTTTGGCACATGTTAAAAATAATAATATATTAGTTCTTTGCTACTTGTCAATTATTTTGAATTGCTTCACACTGATGCTTATTGGAAGATTCTTTATGGGATTATTTTTAGAAAGTTGCTATGTAGGAGTTTATAAAATTTTATCTAAATGGTTTAAAGAGGCATCATTTGCTTATAGGTAACAGTAACCTTATTTTAAGCGTTGATACAGCATTCATTTGTGGAGGTACTATTGCATCAACAATTATGTTGCCTTATTTAATCAATAATTATAGTCTAGATACTGCAATGCTATCATGTCTATTGTTTTGTTTGGTTTCTTTTATAGGTTTGAATACAGTTACTACAATTGATAAAATTTATTAAGTCGAATCCAAACAAGAAACTCTTCCACACTTTTCATTCTCTTTATTAAAACAATTCAATCTTGACTTCTACATTATTGCTTTAAGTTCCATTTTCTGTTATACAAGCTATTACATATATTCCTATAATAATGCAGAAATGTATAAGACAATGTAATATTTTAATTCATTTATGTTTAGGTATCATTTATCATCTTATACTGCAGCTACTCTTTATGGACTACCTTGTTACATGGCTATTTTTATAGCACCATATTTAGGTCATTTGGTTGACAAACATGGATATAGAATGCAAGGATTATAAATAACAAGTCTCATTTAAATGAGTGTGTTTTTATTAATGTATCTCATGCCAAGTTGTGAGACTACTTGTTTTGTTATTCCAGCCATTAGCTAATTATTGAATGGAATATTTTTTGCTTCTTATGTTGTAACCTTATGGCCATGCATTCAAATGGTTGTGTCCTCTTAATTATCAGGAACTGCCTTTGGCTTTGTCTATTCTAGTATAAGCTTTGGAATTTCTTTTGCATCCATTTTTATTGGAAAAGTAGTGTAAGATGAAACATAAGCTTCTTATTCCAATATGTTAGGAATTCTACTCTTAATATCCTTCTTGGGAGCCTCTATGAATTATCTGTTATACTACAGAGATTCTAAATATTTTAACAACAAAAAATATGTGATATCACAAAATAGTACAGAAATGGAATTGAAAATGCTTGATTGAATGCATGGTTAATATTAGAAATCCTAAATAATTATAATTTATGAATTGTATATTAAATATAGATATATATTATACTAAAAATAAATCAACGATTTGTTTTTGCTACTTTTTCAAGTTCATCTCTCTTTTTAATTGTGTATGATTTTTATCCATCTTCATTTGCAGCTGCAATAAGTTCATCAGCAAGTGCTTCTGCAATTGTCTTCATCTTTTTAAATACTGATTCTCTAACTCCCTTAGCCAAATTATGAACAGCCTTAAATATTATTTCTTAATACTTCATTGACTCTTCTAATTGGAGCAACATCAACAGCTTATTATTTAGCAACACCACCTGTTCCAACTTTGGTAAAATCTTCTCTTGCTCCTCCTCTTTAAACAGCCAAAGATAATACTGCAAGTGGATTCTTGCCTGTAAGTAAGTGAACAATTTCAAAAGCATGTCTGATAATTGCTACAGCCTTAACCTTTTTACCAGTATTACGACCATGGAACATAAGAGCACCAGCTAATCTCTCAACAATTGGACATTAAGCCTTTCTAAACTTCTTGCGTTAATATCTTATTAGATTTATATTCAGACACAATACCTTCCAGCTGTATGAGGAACAAAGACTCTTGATTTAGAAGTTTAAACTGCAATATAGTCTTTGAAACATTAGTCTGTTACTTAAACTTCATCATAATCCCATTTTCCAAAAAGTTTTGGTTAATTGGCAAATTTTACAGTGACAACTTATTCTTCTGCCATATTTAAATAAGGATTTATATTAATTTAAAATAATTTTTCATGACAAAAGAACCTAATGGAAAATACCATACAAAGAAAGTAATTATCATAATCATTACAACAAATGAAAAGACAATACTCAAGATCAGCTATTCTCTCAATAAGATAACATTTCAATTTATCATTTAAAACATTTAATCATTATAATTATGTACTCAATTTGATAACCAATAATTATAATGAAATTTCTCATTCATAATTGTTTTAATATTCATGTATTTTTTTTTTATTTTCAGATGAGATTCTTAAGATATTCTAGAATCTATTTGATCGTTTTAAGATGTTCCATTCCTGTAAACTAATTCACATATTCAGAATTGAAGAATTTCTGATTGGAATTTTGATTAAATAAAAATAGACTTAATATCTTAATCTTCCAATATAACACAAATTTATTTGATACATCTAAGCTAATTGATTTGAATTTAAATGATGTAAATCTACTTTAAATAACTGGAATAAATTAAGATACATGATTGCAAATAAAACAGAATCTAAAAGTATCTTTTTATTTCTAAAGATATATTCAATTATCATGAAACAATTAAATAGTTTTTTTAATTAATTGATATTTATAATATTTATATTAAATATATAAACAAACTGAAATAGATTAAAAATTTATCATCTCTTGTTTTTATTTATTTATTTCTTAACTTTTACTTCACTTGGATGAGCTCGTTTCCAAGCCTCTGATTTCTTATCTACTGTAAAATCATTATCTTTAAGTAATTTTGAAAATCTTGGATCAATCTATTTTACAGGTTATTCAATTTCAGGTACTTCAGGTATTACATAACCTTTAGTAACTCTTTCAGCTTCCAATTATTTTTCATAATTTTATTATATTCTTTTTTATTTATAATCTTCAAAATCTAAACCTTTTTATTATCTTAGTTTCAAATATAATTTCAAATGAATAAGATATCCATGTGAATATGGTTTCAACATTGCAGTTTCTAATAGATGCAATGCATCCAATCTTTCCAATTCTTCATAAGATAAAAATTTATATTCATCATAAACTGTTTATTATTCTTCTTCCTCCATTTCTTCAGTTAAATTATCTAAAAATGGACACCATTTAGGAGCAGCATTCAATTATGGAATAAAATATATACCCATTCTTGGTTATTCCAATGCTAATAAAAACATTCCTGAATTCTTCACCCAAGTAAATGAATTTATTTCACTTTATGGTTCAATGTTAGTGAATAAACGATTACCCTACCAAAATTTTAATATCTTAGCATCACAAGATACAATCATATCATCATTCATTACTATCTTTTTTATAGGTAATCGATATTAATGTTAATATATATGAATTGGTATATGTTTTCTTAAATCGAATAATTTTATTTAACCTTCCTTTGTTCCCAAAGCAACTTAAAGATTCTAAGTAGCTATACTAGTAACATCATTCACTCCCAATTATTAAACAATTTAATCACTTCTAAAATCAATAATACTAAGTTATTTATTGCCTCCCACAAATCCCAATTACAATTAGTCATGCATACTTAAACAGTTTACTCCTGTCTCTTATTATATATTGTATGATTCTACAAATGATCCAAGTTCTAGATTTAATCTAGTTATATCTTCATTCTAAGAAGACACCAACAAATTACAATTGTAAGGATTATAAATCTAAAATAGTACTTATAAATAATACCATGTCAGTTGGTTATTTAGGAACTCTCAATTTGAAATGCTTTCCATATTAAGCATGTAATTCAATATTACGATCCTCACATACCATAGCAATTTTCTTATAATCATCTCCCAATAAACAAAATTTTACTATTTCTGAATCAAGACCTCTACTACATTTCATTGACAATTATGATGTTTCAAATATTTTTATTGATGGAGCATAGAGTCCTGCTGCAACAATATACTATTGATCTTTGCTCTCTTCAATTTGAGTTGATGCAGTATTGAATTCAAACCCTTAAATAACCTCAATACGCTTGCGAAATTGCTCATTCTTTTTTAAAGACTTCTAAGTTTTGTAAGCTGTTTCCAAAAATTCAGGTAGAGTTGGACATGCTGCTAAATTATAAGCTTTTATCTATTGAGAAATGGTTATAGAAAGAGTCATTAATTGTGGTAAAAATTAATAATAATTTTAATTTCCTAATATTATATACACCAAATTCAGAAATCTCTATTAAATGTAATTCAATAAACAATATATAAAATCAATATAATTTCTCTATTGCTTATTTTGGTTCCCCATAGTTGTAATACTCCCTTAATCTAAAAACTGATTATAACACTATTCTACAGTCTGGTGCAGGTAAAACCTGGTCAACCAGGAAATCATACAACATTTTTAATTCT